GGATTATCAGCAGCGACCGAGACGATGAAGTGCATGCACAAACCAATCGCTGATAACGGGGCCATCGAAACCCCATTCCTTACGGAGCAGGTCAGTGATCAACCATTTGCTCTCTGATGTATGCACGCCGTGAAGACGGCCATATCTATGCGATTACGTCCCAGATTCAGCAACGAGTTCTTGTACGTAAGATATAGCACCTACGAAGTCATAAACGCCCACGGCTTGGCCAACTTCTGCGCAAGCATGAACCTAGAATGGCGCATTCAAGAACGGAAGAGGGTGAGCGACGGTCAATCCATGCGCACGGGTACAAGTAGATTTCGCGGAGAGCACGATCAGACACGACCGAGTCGGCAGCGGTGCGTTCGTGCTCCTGGTCGTTGCCCACGAAATGCTTGATGGTCGCAGCGACGCCATTGGCCTGCAGACCATTCACGTACGCCGCGGCGATAATTCCTAAAGTGGGACGGTTTGATACAGATTGATGCAGTGGAGATTACGCTGGCACTTACCGGACAGATGGGGGTCCTCGGAGAATGACTCGAACGCACGGCCCCCGAGCGGCGTGCGCTGGATGTTGCACGTTGGGGCGAGCAGGACGACGGAGGACTTTACTTTGGCTTCGGCCGCGAGCAGCGCGCCTACTTCATGTATCATCTCAGGGTCAAATGTCGACGCCATCGACGTCGCACACTGTGGGGTTCCTTATGAGCACGGCGTCTCAGGCACAAGCGGGTGCACTGACCGGAAGACATTGCGCAGGTGTCGATACAAAGTGGGAGGAGCCACGGACACCCTACATCACGTAATTAGCACACTTGTAGTTGTGGGTGTATGCGCACTCACGTTTGGCCCGTCGCTCATGCGCACGGCTGGTATGCCCAGTCTCTCGATAGCGGTGGTATTCCACCAGTTGGGCGCGCCGAGAAGGGAGATTTTCTCATCGGTCGTCAACTTCTTGACGAGGTCCGGGATGGATGCCTGCAGAAAGTCCCTGGACATGGTGGTCGCTGGGCAAGTCCCTGAGGTTGCGAGACGAATAATAAATGATGTAAGGAGCTGGAGGGGGAATCCGTGTCCCAAGAGCTCTCACGGCAGCTTATATGTCTGTTTGATGACCTAAGTCGAGATCTGGGGGTAAAATACTGACGCAGGCTGCGGGAAAACCTCGGAAAGCTGGTCAGATGAGGCTGCCGCGGTGCTGAACCTGGCAGGGAGACGGCGGCGAGCTGAGCTCGCTGCTATTCGAGGCGGCATTGCGAGTGAAAGGCGAGTGGCCGAAAGGGACCGCTGTGAATGCTGATCCGAAGGTGGTGGTAGAGACGGAAGAACTAGTCGTCACAAGCGTTGATCTTGCCGCAAGGGGCAGCGAAAGAAGCTCGCCGGTCCCTTCAACTCTCTCTGTTACTAACAATATCCTTCTTCTGGCCAGGCGCAGCTGGTGGCCACCAGGCTCGCACAAATAGCTCGGATGTAGTCGCACGAACAAATTCAGCGCATACAGCGCAGAATGCCCTGGAATCGATGTTTGCGTACATGATCCGAATCGGATGCGGAAGATTCGAGTGCACACGACGTACTTGACCTCTCCCCACCATAAACGACGTCGCAGTTCACACAACAACTTCGCGAACTGCATTTTCTTCCCCTCGAACTCGAACCCAAACCCACGATGGCGACTGAAACGGAAGTGTTGACGAACGAGGCGATACCGAGGACCCAGGCGACGCTCACGGTCAGGATCGTCAAATCATTCCAGTTCCGGACCGAGAAACATCTCATTCTTCACAACATCAATTGTGAAACAACAACAGTCGGACAACTGAAGGATCTGGCGAGACAAGGTTTGTCGTCTGCCGGAGTAGGTTCCTCTGCGGCATGTTGACTATTTCATAGCGATAAAGACACAACCGGGATGGAAGCCGTACTACAATGTCCAGCTTGGTGAGTGCCGGAAACACCTTTTCAGCCTGCGCGTCGACTTACGGATATCACAGACACAATGAAGCTATACACAAAGGCACATGGTGCAAAGGTGTGCACTAGATCTGACTGCCATATTCGAGGAGACTCTAAAGTATCCCTTCATCACTGCACAGACGACAAACTTGATCATTAACCTTGATCACGACGACTGGATATTGCAAGATGACTCGAAGCTACTAGCGGACTATGGTTTCGGTACGCATGGTCGTTCCATTTCCTTTACATCGACGGGCTGACCCATGACTCTCAGAGAACGAGACCGAAGTCAGCTTCTTCAACCGGGACTTATACGAAGAGTTTAAGAAGAACCCAGAGGTATGTTCCTGTTCCGTCTTCACATTCACATTCATATTGATCTTTGTATAGACCAAATGGTAGGAATGGCTGCAGTTCCTGCCTTCCACCGAGGCGGGAACAGCGCACACGCGATGGCCACTTCCACTTCTATTTCCGCATCAACAATTCGTTTTCTTTATCGGGGAATATGCCGCAATATATTCTGTACAGTGTAATAGCCATGTAGAAACCTCTAATCTGAGTATGTGGGATTGCGACTACGGCGGGATAAGTGTAGGGTACTTGTGCGCAGCGAGGCAGAATGCAACAGCGGGAAGCAAGCAGCAACAAAGAGCAAATCCATGACGAGGGAATGTGGGGTAAGGGAACAGGACAAGGGACAGGTGCAAGCGCTACAAACACAACACGACATCTTGGGATACATGCGCGGAAATGAGGGGATGAGGGGAGAAACCAATGCGATGGAGGAGAAAAGACAGTTCGTCTGCCTGCCTCTACGCCTACAAGGTAATTCTACATTAGTTGCGGTAAGGAGTGGAGTGGGTGGCGATGAGGGCGGCGATGGCGGCAGTGAAGAGCGGGATGATGAGGCGTGACGGCGATGAAAACCATCGTTCAGCCTACTGGTTCGAGCACTGTACCCGCGGCTCGCCCTCCGCACCGTCCTCATCTTCATCCATCGCGTCCGAAGCAGCCGCACGCCTCGTCTGTCGGGCATCCGCGTCCACAAGTTCGACCTCCTCGAGCAGCGTCGACTTGCTGAACTTCTCCACAGGCTTCCTGGGCGGGAGCGCGCGCTCGAGAATGGGGATAACGTCAGGTGAGAGCGAGTCGGGGAACTTGATTGAGAACTTGATGACGAGGTCACCAGGTTCATGATGCCGTTGTGAGGGCATACCTTCGCCGGGAATGCGCTTCACGTCATCTGTGACATAGAGTGTCAATTATCATATATAACTATAAGGGCAGCGAAATGTAACTCACTATGCTTGATCACCTCTCCTGGCGGGATGTTTACTACCAGCGCACGGTCATCCAGGTGCTTGATAGTGAATTGACCGCCGCCCAACGCTGTCAGCAAATCGAGCTCAACATCTGTGCTGAGATCGTTCTCTTGACGAAGGAATCGGTCATGCGGCTTCTCCTCTACCACGATAACAACGTCTCCCGGAATAACACCTGGTGCTTGATCGCTCTCTCCACGGAAGGTGATCGTCTGTCCATTTTTCATGCCCTTATCGATATGCACCTCCAGCATCTTCTTCTCCGAGACGACCTTCTTGCCGTTACATTGCTTGCACCTGTCCTTGTTGTTGATAATTTCACCAGTTCCCGAACAGTCATCGCAAGCCTGCTGGATCTGCTGGATCATCGGACCCATCTGTCGCATGATGATGCGGATACCGCGACCATTGCAGCGGTCGCACTCCCGGACAGCACCCTCCTTGCCACCCTTGCCGTTACACTTTCCACAAATAACATTGCGCGTGAGAGCGAGTTTGGAAACCTTGCCCTTGTAGAGGTCTTCGAGAGAGACAGTGACGCGGTGAACAAGATCCTTTGTTTTGCGGGGACCGGATTGCCGTGAGGGTCCGCCACCGAAGAAACCTCCACCGCCAAAGAGCTGACTGAAAAGATCCTAAAAGATGCCGCGCGATATCAGTATTGATACTTTTTTGCGTGATCGGATGTGTCACGTACCTGGGGATCCATGCCGCCCATTCCGCCCTGCTCGCTCAGACCTGCCTCTCCTCGGGCATCGTAGATACTCCGCTTTTGCGGGTCGGAGAGAACCTCATAGCTGCGCAAAGCCGCGTCAGCACGCCCATGCCAATCACGCATAGCATTGACGCCACACAGCTACGTACGCATGTGTTACCTCTTTGAAGAGTTCGGGGTCGCCACCCTTGTCTGGGTGCAGGCGCAGGGCTCTGGTGACGAGTAATGAGCACCAAGCTGCTGGGCACGCGTGAATGGTACCCACTTTTTCCTGTACGCCTTTTTCAAGTCGGACTCTGAAGCATCCGGAGAGACTTCAAGCAAATCGTAGAATTTCCTAAATATTGCAATCGGTTCAGCTTAGCGATCATCAGTGCAGCACAGTTTTTCGACCTACGTTTCCTGGACCATGCTTTGCGAATGCGCTGGACGCTGCTAGGATGGAGAACGTGGATAGATCAGAGGTGAGGAGGAGAGAGATGGTGGTCGGTGCGTAAGCAAGTGCAGAGCCTCCAAATAAAATGAGTGGCTATGAACTGCGATAGGTAAGTTGGCCGTCCGAAGCGCGGTGACTGGAATCCCATCGAATCTGCCCGAACGTTCACTCAGACCACGTGGCTTTCCTTTCTAAGCGTCTGTAAGTCCGCAATGTTCGAAAAGCCTCGCGGAACACTGCGGTGTGTAGAGGAAAACGGAGAGATGTAAGTTGGCCATGGGATGGTTGGAGGCTGGAAAAAGAGCGGAGCCTTGTATGGAACCCAGTAAATACTGTCTGGTCCGGTCATAGTCTGGGCAAACTCTACTGTGCTAGCGAACTAGACCGGTCAAACAACCACGAGGGTCCCATCACAGGTAGGTGCAAAATTCCTCCAGTGCATTCAAGGTACTTGGCCAACAAATACGGATGGTTTCCGTGAAGGCTACCAGACATCCAGGTAGGGCGAAACGTCTCGCATCGCGAAAATCCATGTCCACAGTGCATAAGGACAAAAGGTCTGCCCCACTGAGGCTCGAACTCAGGACCTTCCGATTAACAGTCGGACGCTTTGACCAACTTAGCCATGGGGCACATATTCTTTTTTCGCTTGGCTGCGTTATAATTCGATAGCACGTTATCTCATGTTTGAGAGCGGCGCTGTATGCATCTCTCAGTCGGACTTCATATCACCACCGACGTTCATGAGTGTTGCAAGACTCACTCGATGCGGGCTGCAACTATCATTTTATCTTGCAACGGTGACCCATGAATGACGTGGTGCAATCAGCTCGTGTATGCTTTATGAAAACTCCAGTCGACCTTTCAAACGCCAGTGCTTGCCGATTCCATACATCCTAGTCTCTCGTCAACCCTTCAAGAACCGTGTACATTGCAGGGTAGAACACGGTGGCTCTCGTCAATTCTCCATATATCGCTGATTCAATAATCAGGATCAAAGCACTGGGCCAACATTGGAAGTAAGGGATCCCGCTGCAATATCCATATGCCTCTCGAACGTGGCAGATATTGCATACGGCAGGTTGAGCCTCTCTTTTGTAATAGCTGGGCGGTTTGACGGACACTTCGACGTGCACGCAGGAGTTAGTTTGGTGCTTTGGCCACGGGGTCGCTGAGATTGAGCAGTTTGGTCCAGGACGCTGTGAAGTATACCCAATGAAGCGAATGCCTTGTGCTATTATGGCCAGCTGCATTGAAGACATATACTGAATGTTCTCCGCAGTAGTAGTGAGACGAAGTGGCTCAAGACATTGGTACCGACTCAAGAGATCAAGCAGCAGTGGGAACTACGGCCTCAAAGGTGGTGAGCAGTCAAACTGAAGGGCGTCATGCGCATCGCCCCTACACGTTCATAGCTCCTATTCCTGGCTCGTGTTTCTCAGGTAACCGGTGGCCCCGCTGTGTTTCACACCCCCGGGGTTTGCACTTGCGACGAGCCCTCCGATAGTAAGCATCAGTGCACCTTGATGCGGGAGCTGCAGCGCCTTCCGACCGTCAACTTTGTGACATAGGTTGTCAGGATGTAGCTGTGTAGCCCATGTGAAGTACATGGAGCTGTTTGTACTCAGCGAGCACTCAATGTCGCCGCGGTGTGCATGTACGACCGGGATGGCTTACTGCAGACGCGCGGGAGCACACAAGAAGTGACCGCCATCAGGAGCAGGTAAGCAGATCAGAAGTTCATCATACTTTCCTTCTTACTGAACAACCTGTGGGTAAGGAACCTAGCTGAAGCTTCCAACATCTATTCGATACGCACGTTGGCGGGTCACACATCTTGTCCATGTGTGCCAGCCCGACCATCCATGCGGGCTTTTGACTGTTGCGCACTGCAGAAGAACGAACAGTTTCGTATTGGAAGCCAGCCTTGTGATTACTCGACGCACGACGACTCGTTCTGGGCAGTGATTTGCTCCCGGGCCACAGCAACATGCCGCTTTTTGCGCGGCGCCGGTCGCATCATCGCTCTCACAGACGAGCTTCGTCCAGGGAGACGTTGTAGGCACCATGCGTCGGAAGCACGCCCAAGATAATCCTTTCCCATAGGGGGGGTCGGGGAAGTGTATTTAAAGCACACTCCATCGTCGGTGTACAGGCAGCTCGCTCGCGCTCCTCCCCGCTCACATCCTTAACCATGATGTTCCGCCTGCTTCCTGCTCTCTTCGTGGCCGTCGCTGTCGTCGCTGCCCCCTCGCGCAGGGCCTCGGTAGCTTTCGTTGATCCCACGACGGGCGGAGGGACCTGGTTGGACCACAACCCGGGAAGCGACCTAGGCGAACCGCTGAATGTACTGCTCCCTTTGTCACCACCTACTCAACTAATCCCTGACTATTACATCACTTAGGTTGTTGTCTCTGGACTGAGCTCACCGACGGTTCTCGATCTCAAAGGCCAAGGTTTCATGAACTACGTCAAGTCTTTCGACTTGTACGTTGCGGTGGCCTACATCTTTTGCGTCAATTAATCCCTCGTTATAGCTCACAGGAATGCCTGGGTCTGCACCAGGGCGATCCCCAGAGCGCCAACCTGGGCGATGGCAATGGTCTCGTGAATCAGACCGTGGAGATCCGTCAGGATTTCGGAAATTCCGTCTTCGGTTCCTGCTTGGAAAGTCTCACCGGAGGAAACCACTTCAGGTGAGCGCCGAGTGGCTTCCTCGCAAGCGTCAGTTGCTGATTTGTTCTCTTCTGTAGGGTGTTCATTCAAAACGGGCCCGCCGCGAACACTGGTGCCTTGTTCCTGGCGTACGTTGAACTTATGCTCTTTCACGCTTCACTAACGCTGACGTAACGCCAGTGCATCACAGGAGGAAGACCTGTCCCAGGGTCACACCATCTCTCCTAATGGGTACAACGTCGGCAGGTAAGCACAGGAGACAGGAAATATTCAAACCCTTGCACTTACGTGTATTATCTATAGGGATGCCCTCGTAAAAGCTGCAGTTGGCACCCACTCATTCCAGGGTGTCACATATACGACAACCTCTCAAGTACTGTCCGGAGTGATGCCCGCAGGATCTAACGGCGTTAACCACGGTAAGATGTTCGCACATCGTTGATAAACCCAGCCACTCAACTGCATGTTATTCTTTAGGCATTGCTGTCGATGGAAACGCGGTGCTTTTGACCGTGACCACCAGTTAAACTGGTGTTCCTTGGATCTTGGTGGTATGACCTCGGTGTCAGTGTCGGCACCTAAGGCCGGAGTATTATACGAGTTATTATGAAAGGAGTGCTGTCCACCAGCTCTTTGTATTTCTAGTGGTGTTGTAGTTCTCTGGAAATTTTTCGATTATTTGTGCTGCACTTCCCTTAACGTGATAAGCAGAAATCATAGTGAAGTAGGCACTTGTGCGTCCTTCGATTTCAAAGCAGTCATCGCCTGCCTGGTAACACGGAAGTAAACTGCTGTCGATCACCGTCAGTCACGGCCCCGCCGGTGTACATCCTCGAAATATGCTGACAGCCCAAGCATCAATCAGGGATTTCGAAGATGGAAACAACAAAGTATACAGCAATGGACTTCCAGCATTTGACAGACAGTTGGCAGACGTATAGCTGTTGTAGTTGACTTCAAACCCTGCCTATTAGGTGGCGGCGGCTCCGCGCGGATCGCCAAGGCTATGTTCCAAACTGATATGGGCGTCTGGAGTGTTTCAACTTTCAAGTGATCGTGCGAATTCCCTCGCCGAAACGGGATAAGAGCCTACTACCAATATCTGGCATCGTTGCGACAGGCACTGTGTACTCCTCCGTCCACCCGCTATGGCGGAAAACATATACAGCAAGGGCACCAAGGTCTGGTTCCCTGACAAGGACGTTAGCTGGATTTCCGGGGAGGTAACGTCTGTTACGAGGAGCCCCGATGACGCTGTGAAGCTCGTGTTCGTCGATGAACGCGGCAGGGTGAGTGCGCCCGCACGTTTAGCTGCCGAAGTGAACTGACGGGATCGACGGCTTTTTTCGTGCAGGAAACGGTTGTGAACACGACTGTGAAGGAAATCAAGGATGGGCGAGAAGACCTGCCCCCGCTACGCAACCCACCGCTACTGGAGACGGCTGATGATTTGGCCACTTTGTCTCATCTTAACGAACCCTCCGGTGAGCAAAGTGTATTGGATTTTATCGCAAACCGGCTGATCGAGTCGTTTCCCAGTCCTGCACACGATCCGAAACCGTTATGCCCAGCATAGTATATACACCTATAGTGGAATCGTGCTCATAGCCATGAACCCGTTCCAACGCGTCACCCTTTATGGACCCGAAATTATCCAAGCATATAATGGCAGGAAGCGCGGGGAGCTTGAACCCCATTTGTTCGCTATTGCAGAGGACGCGTATACTGCCATGAGTAGAGATGGTACAGGCCAGACTATCATCGTTTCGGGCGAGAGGTGCGTCTACTAGCATCTGATAGATGGAACAAGGAAGTAATGTATGATGCGCATCCCCAGTGGTGCAGGCAAGACAGAATCGGCCAAGTTTATCATGCGTTACATCGCGTCCGTCAACCCGCCGGGGTCAGATAAGGGCAAGATGAAGACATCGCTGGACGACTCTAGCGAGGTTGAGCGACAGATCCTTGCTACGAATCCCGTTCTCGAGGCATTCGGTAACGCCAAAACGACGCGTAACGATAACTCGTCGCGGTTCGGTAAATACATTCAGGTCAGTGCGGGCGTGGCGCCATGATCTCCCCGCTAATCTCCCCTCCTTCAGATCCTCTTCGACGGCAGGCAAGAGATTGTAGGCGCCCGCATACGGACATACCTGCTAGAGCGCTCTCGTGTCGTGTTCCAGCCTCTCACCGAGCGGAATTACCACATCTTCTACCAGCTGTGTGCCGGTGCACCTCTGAAGGAGCGCAAGGATCTTGGGTTGGACTCGGACATCACGAAATTCCATTATCTGAAGCAAGGCGGTCCGCAATCGACACCTATCAATGGCGTCGACGACGCTGAGGAGTTCAGAACCACCCAGACGGCTCTGTCGACGATTGGTATTCGAATTGAGAAGCAATGGGCTGTGTTCAAGCTCTTGGCTGCCCTGCTTCACCTCGGAAACGTCACAGTCACAGCATCGCGCAGCGACTCGAACATTGACGACGCAGATCCTGCCCTTCAACAAGCGACGCGGTTCCTCGGTGTACCGTTGGCCGAGTTCAAGAAGTGGACGATCAAAAAGCAGATCACAACGCGTTCGGAGAAGATCGTGACCTCGTTGAATGCGGCGCAGGCTACGGTTGTCCGTGACAGTGTCTCCAAGTTTGTGTACGCTTGCATCTTCGAGTGGCTCGTTGCTATTGTCAATGAGAGTTTGGCGGGTGAAAACGGCGAGGCGGCGGAGAAGGCAGAGATGTTCATTGGTGTTTTGGATATTTACGGTTTCGAGCACTTCAAGAAGGTAATGCACTCTACTCAAAAGATCTTCTCCCTCGTAGCTAACTCTATGGCCAGAACTCTTTCGAACAATTCAGCATCAACTACGCCAACGAGAAGTTGCAGCAAGAGGTATGCACATGATCCTTGCCTAATCTTTGCCCTGAGGGTGTTTCTGACACAAGCATCACAGTTC